GGAGGAAGACTGGTTTGAGCTGACCTGGGGTTAGTACGGCTGGGAAGACACAATGGACTTGATCTGCGTGTCGTTGGTGGGCCCCAATTAGGGGCTGCCTCCCAGGATACTATTATTATTATTATTATTATTATAATGACTCTAACCATAGTAATAATAATAATTTTAATAATGAATTTAACTATAGTAATAATAATAGCGCTTCGCATTGGCGCAAACAAAATTATAGACGTAAAGTTCTGTTATTCGTAACTGACGCTTGTCAGTTCCTTCCCTACCTTTGGTACTTGGCGCGGCTGCTCCGGAGATGAAGCCGGAGACTTGTCTCCGGTTTCAGTATCACCTATTGAGATGTTTACTCGCCTATTATTGAAATTGCTTCGAAGAACTTCGAAGACATTATTGGGACATTGTCTCAGTTTAAGACCTCGCAACACTAGGGGCCACCAAACGTTGTCAAAGGCACCCGAATTGTCGAAGAGCAACGCCACAGCGTATCTCCCTTCCGAGGCAGAGACCGCACTCCGCAGCTCCACGACCGCGTCCTCCGTCGACTTGCCCGGCATAAATCCGAACTGCCGATCGGAGATCCTTCCCGGCGCCAATGCCTTGCCTGTTAGGCGCATTTTGAGAAGTTCTCGAAGAGTTTTCCTATTACAGGGAGGAGACATATTGGTTTATACGATTTTGGGTCCTTATCCTCGTCCTTCAGAAGGGCTCGTAGTGAGCCCTCCTTTCAGATCGTGGGAAAGACGCCCCAATGAAGGCACCCATTAAACACTCTTAAGAATTGTTCAGGGATTTCACTTACCGATATTTTTAGAACTTTAACTTCTATGAGATCCATGCCTGTAGCTTTATCATTGTTAAATGTTTTGGCCAATGCCTTCCTTGTAAAGAATGAGGCATCTGCAGTGTCTGGCGCTGTTTTTGAAAGGCTTCTTATTTCGCTTTGTGTTTGCGTGTCTTCGTGACTTAAGTCATCCGGTACGTATGTGTTCAGTAAGCATTGTGCTGTTTCTTCTGCGGTCTTTGTAAAGTGCTCACCTCTTCTAAGTGTGCTTATGATCTTTTCGATTCTAAACATATTCACTTGTTGTTTGTATACAAAACCGCATGGCTTCTCATTGCCATATTCCGTGACAAATTTCCTCCAGCTTTCATATTTTGCCCTACCTATTGTCCTGTTATATTGACGTAGGGATTCTTTGTGTTCTTGCTTTAAAGCTCTAATTGTTTCAATTTCTGTTTTACTTTGATTTCTTGATCCTTTTAGTCCTTGGATCATCTTTCTTTTACGGCTTACTTCCTTTTTCTGCTTCGTGAGTTCTTTCGTCCACCATGGATTTGATCTCCTAAAAACTCTTTTCTTTGGCATCGATTTTTCGCATGCCTCTAAGATAACCTGCTGTAATTGTTCGGCCATCCGTTCTGCTTCATCCGCAGATTCCGGGCCGGGGGCCACGAGTCTTAATCCAGATAGATCTATCAGAACTCTCACAGAACAGCTCCCAGTCGGCCCGTCGAACCTACAGTTCGCAGCACTGCGGTCATTTGTCATCCTCGGTACCCTCAGCCCGATCTCCACGGAAATATGATCACTAGTTGTCCATTCTGGCCTTACCTTCCATGTGCCGATGAGTTGGTTTATTCGAGGGGACACCAGGGTCACATCTATGAAAGACGATCCCCTCCTCGTTTTGAAGGTGGGCCCTTGATGGACTTCATTTATTACCTCAAAGCCAAATGCACGAATGAGGGTTTCGAACTTCCTTCCTCTCTCATCGGTCTCATGAGAGCCCGAAAGCGACGATCGTGCGTTAGCATCTACCGCCACTATAAGTCTCTCACCCCTCAGGGAATGAAACACCTTCTCGAGGTGCCTGAGGTGGCCCTCAATCTCGTCACTATACTGAAAATAGCATGACACGACGTATATCGATAGGCCGAGAGCCTGCGCTTCCGCACACACACAGTGGGTCGTGCTGAGCTGCGAAATAAATATCATTTGTAGACAGGGGTTGCTGATCGCTACCAACGCCCATGGGAGTTCCGAGCGCACTGCAGCAACTTTCATCCCTGTTCCTAACCCATAAAAGATGTTGCTCTGACCTTGCTTCCTGCAACTGGAAGCTAGTGCCACCTGTGTATCATATCCTTGTGCGTCGCTTCTTTGTAGGACTATGTGGACTTCACGACGGTGCATATTGTTTGTTCTTTCCGTTTGCTCTTTTCGTTGGTGTGCATATTGCTTCACGAGATTATCACATCGTTCCAGGTCTATTTTGACAGCGCGAAAGTTGCTAACTGCCTTTATTGGCTCCCTTCGGGTATCACATTTTTCTATGACTACCCTTGCCTCTTTTAGAGTCGTCGTTCTCTTCTTTGTTAAAGCTGCCTTTATAGCTTGCATTGTTCTTGCTGTCTCCGTGAGCTGTAATTGTTCATCGCACCTCTCCAGGACTATCCTAACACTTCGACACTTTATAATTTTTGCTACTCTCCCTTCCTTGGTATTCTTTCTTTGCCATGTCTTGTTATTTTATTATCTTCCATATGATTTTTTTTTATTTTGGCAGATAGAAGAAGTCGAATGTCGTACCCACCTATACGCCACTAAGTCTGACTACTCCAGGGGGGCGACAGGTACCCTGGAGGCGTCGTTCGAGACTGCTCGATTTTACGTTCTGCAGTCATACTGACCCTGAGCACGACTTCCTACACCTTGGCCTTTGAACGAGCGCCATTCTTTGGAAACGCTTACCATTAAGCCGTTCAGCCATCGGTGTTTGATGAACTGAAAATAATTTCTGAGCGTTGGGCCCCCTAGTTCCGTCGCAGCTCGAAGTCGGGTCACGAAGGCCCCTGTACTAACCCTTCGCCTATCGCCACTGTCCATCCCCTAGAGGATAAGGCAGCGACGCAGACCCTTTCGCACGGTTGCATCACATTAATTGCCGTAGCCACATAAGGGTCATTTGTCGCAACTCGGGGCTGTGCTGTGTTGATTGATCTCCCTTTGAGTAGTCGACGCCGGTCCCAGCCCCGAAAGATCCCAGCAATGGGACCATGGCGCCAGAAGGTTCGGCAGGCTCAGGATGCCTTGTAATACCGTCAATTCCGTTTGTCGCCGCAATGACGTTCAGCCGTCCGAAGACGATTCCGGGAGCACCTCTTGGAGGTAATCGCGCGACTTGGAGATGAGAGCCTGTGTATTGCGCATCATCATCCCTGCTATGACTCTTTAGCTGTTTGTACGCTCGAGCGATCGGACGTTGTGGCCTCGGTCTGCTCCTAGCGTTCCAGCGTTGATGTGCTCGAGCGGCCGGAGATCGTAGCCTTGGTATGCTCCTAGCTCCTAGGCGTGTGTGTGCTCGAGCGATCGGAGGCTGTTGCCTCGGTCTGCTCCTAGCGTGCACATGCTCGAGCGATCAGAAAGCTTGGCCTCGGTCTGCTCCTAGCGTTTAAGTGCCCGAGTGATCAGAGGTCGTGGCCTCGGTCTACTCCTGGCAATTTATATGCTCGAGCGATCGGAGGCAGTTGGCCTCGATCCGCTCCTAGCATAGGGAGTGCTGCGTTGCTCGAGCGATCAGAGGTTCTACCCTCGATCTACTCCTAGCATCGCAGGAGAGTGATAGTCGCTCCCAAGTAGATAGGGACAGTGGGAATCTCGTTAATCCTTTCATGCGCGTCACTAATTAATGACGAGGCATTTGGCTATTGTTTCGTCAACGGACAAGCAGTACGCAAGTACGCACGCACCGCACCGTCCATGAACGATATTGCATGGCTGTTTTCTGTCGGTGTTCGCAGTAGTACACCCTGATATCGTGCTGTACAAGAACTAACAAGCAGTTCACCTTTCATATAACAGGCACTCACTGATTCAATCATCTCCGTCATGCGGAAGCGCTCGAGGGAACGCACTGACTTTACCACTATTGGGGGTCGATCGCCGCCCTGAATTATGACGAGTTGTTATGCTGTTAAATCTCCGCTAGTTCATCCACGAGCCCCACAGGACCCGAGTAGCGAGAATGCGCAGCTGACCTTATGTTAGGCCTAGGCCACGCATCTCACTCTCGCTTTGCGAGCTCCAGACGCCTCGCCATGTGATGTAATGGCGAGTGAAACGAACATTATTGCGAGCCACTTCTGTATATTCCGCCACACGGTCCTTCAGATCATTAGAAGACCGGTACTTCTCCACCTTCCGCTCATGGGAGACATTTAACGCGGTTTCGCTGAATATTACCTGCGCGTCAACGACCACCATCCTTAGCAATGGTCAGGTCGGACCGCCTCCTGCCGGCAGAGGTCGAGTACGCTAATTCCGCATCGACATGCCATCCCTTCTGTTGTAAAAAGCCACCAACTTGACGACATAGGTCTTTGTGCCGTAGGATCCTCCCTCCGTGCGTTCTGAAACAGCGCTGAATGCAGTGAGCCGGCGTCTCTTTATCGGGACACCCGGCCCTACAGCGAACATCGCGTCCATCACGACCTCGGGAGAGTCTCGCTCGAGACGGAATGCAGTTAACCCGTATATGGTGATAATGCACGTAGTCAGCTCCGGGTATGGGGTCAGCACCACGTGCGACCCAATATGAGCTCAATTTGGACGACGCGACCTCCCTGAGCCCGTTCCCATCGCACGACTCGCGCAACCAGGCTGTACACTACTGTCTGAGCTGAGCAGCCGAAGTAACTCTATGGCCGCGAACCCTCATTTGGTTATCGCACCACACCAACTGCTTAGCCACATAATTGGATTCAGCAGTGGCGCTTGCCGCAGGCAGAGCACTTCTACATAGCCGCTGCAGTCGGTTATGCTTTAAGATAGTTATAAAAACTTTGAATAGAGGCATGCCAAGCCCGCCACTCTGTATCGGCGTATGAAAATATCCAGCAGGAACATCATGGGGAAACCGCATCCAGCGACGCACTGCAGTGCACACCAGCACGTCCAATCCTTTTAACGATTTAGAGGTGACTGCTCCAAGAACCCACCGATGGTAATATCGAGGGAGGAGACAGTCCCTGAGCAACCGTAACCGCTGTTGCGGTTTTAACGGTGCTTTACTTAGTAGCTCGATGGAATTAGCGAAAGGCGGAACACTTGCGTATTCCCTGGCACCCTGATACATGCATCCCAGATACGTCCAGACCTCGACAGGGGATCTTTGCGGTATCAGCGCTCCCCCCACAGTGAAGTAAGGTGTAGTGTCAACCTTCACCTTCTTGTCTCGGCCGGACGCCACCATGGAGAGCACACCTTTCTCTTTGCGTTAATGTCCAGTCCATTTTACATAAAGGCAGCATGAAGCAGTGTCAAGTTCTCCCGCAGACCAACTTTGGTGGAAGGCAAGAGCACAATGTCGTCAGCATAGCCCAGCGCGCTGATCAGCCTGTCACCCATTCGATAGCCCACATCCTCCGAGAGAACTCCCAGTGCTCTATCTACGACCAGATTGAACAGTAGGGGCGATAACGGATCACCTTGCCTCACACCACGTCCTGTCTTAATCGGCATGTCCATATCACATCCGGACGCCTGCAGTACAGTCCGGGAATTGTTATAAACAGCCCTGATATAGCTACTGAACTCGGACGGTAAATCCGCCTCCTCCAGAGTCCGATGTATGGCATGGTAGGTTACCGTGTCGAATGCTTTCGACAGGTCCACACATGCCACGTGAAGCGTTCTGCATTGCCTCCGGGCGTCTCCGAGAACAGCGGACAGCATCGTGATGTTCTCACAGGCCCCGTCCACCGGCTGAAAACCCCTTTGGCGAATATCAAAGATATTCAGGGCCGACAGTCGATTGGCTAGAATTTTATGGAGATGCCTTATGATGATCGAGCTAATGCTTTAAGGTCGGTATTCCGAGGGCGCAGGCCTCCGGATGTCCCTCCCGAGACAGTACCTCCCTTTTCAAGGAAGACAGTTTTCGTGGTTGCTAGAGACGAAGGTATCGTTCCTGCCAGGAGCAGCAGATTGAACAGCAGCGCACGAACAGGTGGAAAAGAGTTCCACATACTCGGCGTAATACCGTCCAATCCGGGCGCAGTGCCAGTCCTTACGGATATCATAACGACTTCTGCCGTCGAAATCGGATCCCAGAGCAAGGTCCTATCCGCTACGTGTGGCCCTCCATCCACAGCGGCGCCCTCGCCGAGGCCTTCGAGATGAATCCCTCTGGCTCTCGGCGGACGCTCTGGCTAGGACTCGCCACCAGCCTCGCCTCTCCATATAGCTCACGCAGCTCCGTCATTTCTCCATCCGCGACACCGGTCGCATCCATAAGGGGACGCCAGTAATCACGGAATTCTATAGCGGACGGGCGCTTACGCTCGGATCCATCTATTATTTTTTTGATTATTTGAAAGACAGGTCTTGAGGTTTTCATAAAAGGACTGCACTTGTGCATATTTCCTCTTCCTCTTCTGCTTCCTATTTTCTCGCTTGATAGGAGGATTGCACCGTTTAGTCGACGCGCGCTGCGGAGGGTGCACGGCAGGAGACGGGAAGATCCGCCCCAGCCATCTCTCAATGGCCGTGACATCAACTTCAACAGTCTCCGTCGCCACACTGAGAAACCCATTTAGTTGAATCAATTAATTTCTTGTTTGGATATGGGCAAACAAATCCTTGGTTGATACAATAAAATAATTTGGTTCAAGCCAAACACTTGGTTATTGTAAACAACTTTATCAGATGTCAACGTCTACCAGAAACAAGTGAAATGTTAAAATAACCAAATGCTTTGCTCCAACTAAATTATTTTGTTGCATCGATTAATTTCTTGTTTGGATATGGGCAAACAAATCCTTGGTTGATTCAACTAAATGGGTTTCTCAGTGCACTCTCGCTATGTCAACGAGAGTACCAGCCTCATAGCTACGGCACGACGAACCCACCAAATGTTCGGACATGTATGCCCGAAGCCTCCCTGTGGCCTGCAGGGGTGTGGACTGATGTACACTGTTATCATTAGTCGTCTCACTGGTCCCCGGGGCACCGGCAGCTCCTATCATCGCTGCAACGGCTGCCCCGACGCCCTCATCGATCGCAGTTGCATGCGAATGGATCTCCTGGCAGAAGCCTCTAACCATCTCGCGATAAGCCTCTTGTCGACGCTTACCCTTAATGGCTTCAAGACTACTATGGGGGAATTTGCCCCGAAGGTATTGGTTCATGAATCGGACTCCGCCGGCTGAGGTGGCCTCAGCGCGAGCCATGAGACGGACTTCCTCCACTGGCCATCTGGCCTTTACGCGATCAACATCTACGGCGCTGTTTGCCTCTACTGGGTGCGCATGAACAACGTGTACTCCCAGGCCACGCTTGTTCCGGAATGCTCGCCCACAGTGCTCGCAAGTCACTGGCGGTTCTTGGCTGCTGCCCTCAGCCTGGCTGCCGTGATCAGCCACTATATTACGACCCCGTGGAGGTGGTCTCTGGCTGCCGTGCTCAGCCTGGCTGCCCTGTTCAGCCATTGTGTTCCCACGACCACGTCGCGGTCTCAACATATAACGCGTGGAGCCAGCTACGTCCTCCTCCGGCGCCTCCGCACAGACTGAGTCTTCATATGCATCTTTCGCACGCAGTGCCCGGGCCATCCGAGAACCTGGGCGTGAAGATTCATTCTTTTGTACTTCCATATATTAACTGCGTGTAGGGGAGCAAACGGATTGACAGCCGAGAGCCCCCCAAATAGCCGCGCACTTTCTTGGCCCCACAACTCACCATAGGCGTCGGCACTTGGGCTAAAAGCCCTTAGGGGCGCACACGCCACAACATCATTTAGCCACCCTGCCCAAGCGCAGGGGCCCAGGAGCACCACGTGGAGGTAGGTGTGTGACTTGTACGACAGAGGTTATGTATTACACGTCATCGTCCCTACTATGACTTTATCGAAAGATGGAGAGAACCTGTTTCGTCAACGAACAAGCAGTGCGCAAGTATGCACGCACCGCTCAGTTCGTGAACGATATTGCAGGGCTGTTTTCTGTCGGTGTTCGCAGTAGTACACCCTGGATTCGTGCTGTACAGAACTGACGAGCAGTTCACCTTTCAAATAACAGGCACTCACTGATTCAATCACCCCCGTCATGCGGAAGCGCCCGAGGGAAAGCGCTGACTTGCACCACTATTGGGGGTCGATCGCCGCCCAGTATCATAACGAGTTGTTATTCCGTTAAATCTCCGCCAGTTCATCCACGAGCCTCTTAAGAGAGTCATAGTTACTCCCGCAGTTTACCCGCGCTTGCTTGAATTTCTTCACGTTGACATTCAGAGCACTGGGCAGAAATCACATTGCGTCAACACCCGCGAGGGCCATCGCAATGCTTTGTTTTAATTAGACAGACGAATTCCCCTAGTCCATGCCACTTCTGAGCTGAGCGTTGAATGGCGGCTGAAGAGGACGATCACGACGGCTCGCGCCACCACGGAAGCCTCGCAGCAAGGAAGATCCGCGGGAGGCCAAGGCACGGGACCGAGCTCGGATCCCGGAACCGGCGCGAGAACACTCGAGTGTTCAGGCCCGGCACGTCAGCCAGACCCGCTTCCCGACCAAGCCCGACACGCCCCACTCCTCAGATCCAATCCTTATTCCGAAGTTACGGATCCAATTTGCCGACTTCCCTTACCTACATTAGTCTATCGACTAAAGGCTCTTTACCTTGGAGACCTTCTGCGGATATGGGTACGAGCCGGCGCGACACCTCCACGTGGCCCTCTCCTGGGTTTTCAAGGTCCGAGGGGAAGATTCGGACACCGCCGCAACTGCGGTGCTCTTCGCGTTCCAAACCCTATCTCCCTGCTAGAGGTTTCCAGGGAACTCGAACGCTTATACAGAAAAGAAAACTCTTCCCGGATCTCCCGACGGCGTCTCCAGGTCATTTTGGGTTACCCCGACGAACACTTACGAGGGACCGAATTGTATGCGGTTCCGCTGCCGGGTTCCGGAATAGGAACCGGATTCCCTTTCGCCCGACGGGCGTGTGTATCTCTCCTCTCTCTCTATTTACAGAGTTGCGAGAACGCGACACTAGAGTATCGTACGCCGTCATTGACATAGGATTTCTCCTAGGACTTAGGATCGACTGACTCGTGTGCAACGGCTGTTCACACGAAACCCTTCTCCACGTCAGTCCTCCAGGTCCTCGCT